GTAAATTTAATCCAATGTTAATTATTGATTAGAACTTCATATACTTTTTGTATGGGGTATAGACACTGGGCCATAAAAGACCATTAAAGGGGATAGGAAAGATTCATGCCCTAATATTTGTATTAATTTGAACTCTCTATTCTTCTAAATTACTGAGACCATGGGACAGAAAAATACACTGTCCAGCAGTCAAGCTGAAAAAGGAAGCTGACATGAAAGAATAGAGGACATTATTTATTGGGACTACATTCTAATTGTTAAGCAGAAGCCAAAATTAATGAAGGTTTCATTTTTACTTGTTCTATATTCAGCACAACAAATGAGGACATGATGGGGTTCTCATATCTGCCCTACATTTCTTGTGTTTCAACTCCAGAACCAGCTGATGGAAGCAGATGAAATTTATTGCAAATGTTATGGAGTCAGTTGAGTTTTATATCTACTTCTCACAAGGGCAAAAGGATTTATTTCGGTTTGTTCAATATGTACAAAATCAAGAATTATTTCAAACAAGAACTTGGAAAGCCTAAAGAAAGTTGTTTTTTTTTTGTGTGTACATATCTGTTGCATAATGAGCTGTTCTCAAGAAACTTTATAAATTTAGGTTTTAGTGTACATCATGCCAATGGATAGCATAAACCAGCATTATTTATATTTTTAATGAGAAGATTTATTTTTTGCATGTCACAATATCACAATATGGTTACCCGTCATTTCATGTAAAAAGTGAAAGCTTCATGCAAAATGTTGCAGTATCCTGACACCAGATTATAAAGAGCACATTGTTGTCACGTAAATTTTAGGTACTCCTCATTTGTTGGAATGTTTGGTGCATGTCTAATGCAAGATGATTAAAATTTTATTAATCTTCAATAAGAATAATATAATATATTTATTATTTTGTTGTCTTCTCACCTGACAGTGTGTAGTCTGGTAGGTTAGAGCAAAGACAACCCACCATTGTAATCCAGAAGACCACAGTACAGCTCTTCTGCTGTGAACATGTTCAAATCTTGTTCAGATATAGGTTAACTTCTTTGATGTATTCTGAATTGTTAATCGTTTTCTTCCATCTTGTATTAATAATATTTATATAAAATATATGTATTGAATTTTATATTGATTCTAGCCATATAGTATATTTTCTCAGAAAGTTACTTAGACAGGGCTTCTTTTCTCTATTTGTGTTGTCCTGTGTAGGCAGGGAACTCATGACAGGCTGACCCCCTGTCCAAGGAATCTACCAAATCTCATCAACTAGACTCTAAAACCTGGAAAACAAAGAGGTTTTGGACAATATTGTTCAGTAATGCAAGACACATGAACCTTAATTTCTGTGGAATTAAGGTTCTTTCATTGGCCCATAGGCACAGTGCCTAATTTATTAAGCACAGGGGCCTCCTTGACTTTACTTTGTGGTTTAGTGTGAACTGTTTCATTTATTTCAAGTTCTCAAATTATGGAATGTAACTGTGCTGATAATTTCTAAACCAGAATGCAGGGCAAAATCATGACATAAAGATAGCTAACAGATGATTTGAAAATGTGGCACATTTCAGATATTTGGGAATGACTATAACAAATTAAAACCTGATTCAGGAGGAAGGTAAAAGGAGGCTGAACCTTTTTGCTTCTTGCCTGTTGTCTAAAAACATAAAAATTAGAACAGATTTTCGCAACCTGTGGTCCACAAACAGACTTAAATTAAATTGAATTAAAAATTATCCAACCAATACAAATTAAAATTAAATAAGCAAGTAAAAATTAATTATATCATTCTTTATATGTTTAATAAAGCTTAAAACTTTGCTCAAAGATGATTCACTTTTAATAGTTTACTTCCAGTTTAATCAGTTATGTTTCCAATTGCATACAAAACATGCTTTTAGATTTATTATGTTATAAATGGCACAGTCTGTCCCAAATGTTGGTAATTCCACATAGGTTTAAAAAATAGGCCTACATAACTTAGTGGTCTGTAGAATTTTTTCAGACATTTTACTGGTCGTTGGACTTAAAAAGGCTGAGAAACACTGAATTAGAATATAAAAAGAAGTACATCAAAGGCTGTAGTTAAATCTAAAAATATGCCCATAACTAACAGCTTATTATCTAATGCTTTCTGGATATCCTCTATGAAGGTTTTTGTTGCCGTATTGGTAGGTTTCTTCTCTCTGAAGCCATTTTGAGCCCCAGATATCATGTTGTGTTCAAGTAGGTCAGTACTCTTTTTATATATTAATATTTCATGAACTTTGAAAAGAACTGGAAAAATTGAACTTGGTCTATAATTGGAGATTTCTTGTTTTCCTCCTTTTTTGTGAATAGGCCGAACTTTTGCAATCTTCATCAAATTTGGAAAGGTTCCAGAACATAATGAAGTGTTACATACAAAGGTTACTGGTTTACTGCTATACTGAATACTTTCTTTCACTAACCTTTCAGCTATTTTGTCCCAGTCAGCTGAAAATTTACCCTTTAGTTTCTTGGTTACATATAAAACCTCTTCTTCAGTAAGTGGAGCAAGAAACATGGAATTAGAGATTAATATTTCATTATTAAGAGTGTCATGACCAAATTTACAACCCTTACAACAAAATCTTATCAACATCTTCTATGAAAAAAGCATTAAACTGATGAATATCCTGGGGATTTGAAACTAACATGGAGCCTATTTTTAAAGAATCATTTTGATTTGTTTTTTTTTTTCATAATCCCCTGATTCCTTTTTTATTATTTGCCATGTTGCCCTGGTATGGTTTAGTGACCTTGAAATAACTGCCATTTTCTCTTTTTCATGCTTCAGATATCACTTCCTTAAAAGTAATTTCGTATTTCTTCATATACAAGTAGTTCAGTGTTTTACCACTTCTCCATTTGATATATGATGGGGTAAATCATTTATATATAATAAAATAGGAGCAGGCCCAAAATAGACCCTTGAGGTATTCGAGTTTTGTATTCCTCAGTGTAGAACTGTACCTATTCATAGAATATTTCTTGTTATTAGAGGTTATTTCTACATACTGAGAATGCAGTGTGGGATAGGATTTTAACCAAACATTAATTTTCCCTCTTATTCCATAATGATCTAATTTTTCAAGAAGTATATCATGATCAATAATAGCAGCTGCAAATGATCGCCTGTACAGTCCCAACAAAGGATTGACACGCAGATATGGCAGACTTATTTTTTCTGGAACCCATATTGATTTTCCGTTAAAATCTTAAATTTAATAATAAAAGACACCAATCTGTTATACCCTATTTTTTTGACAATTTTTTGAGAATATACATAACAGATATAGGTCTGTAATTACTAATTTCATGTCTATTACCCTTTTTATAAACAGGTCTAATTTTTTCAATTTTCAATAAATCTGCAAGTATGCCCTAATTTATGGATTCATTAAATATGAAATTATGTGTTTTTTTGTACATGTGATACATGCTTTTACTAGAAAATCAGGAATTTCAGCAAATTCTACAGAGGCTCTGCCTTTTAATTCGGATACTGCTGTAACTATTTACATAGCGTTTGGGTTGCAGTCCACTACTTTTTGTAATGATCTACCACTACCTTTACTCCTATTTTCCTCAACTAGTTCTACCTTATCAATAAAGTAAGAATTTACAGTATCTGCCACCTTCTGAGGGTGAGTTATTTTCTTTAAATTATTTTGTAACTGATATATCCCTTAACTTCCCATTTTTTTTATTAACTAACTGCCACATCATTTTAGTTGGGTTTGACACACTTACTATTTGTTTGTCTTTTTTTTCTAGCTTCTGAGATAAGAGTTTGACCTCTTCTTTCACTGTTTGTGGTGGCCCTTAGATCAGCACCTGGCTTTATGATCCTCTGGACTTCAAAATCATTGTCCAGGTTGTACGTTACCTTGGATGCACATTCTCTTCCATGGCATCCCCCACGATTAAAATCCTATGCTGCTTCTTTTTTGGTGATGTTTGGTTTTTGTAGTGTTTTCTTACTTGTTGATTCTCGGCTGAATTAAAGACCTGGGTTTCACAGACTTCACTATTGCAAGGTAATTTGTAGCGATTATTTATGACGGGTATTCTATAAATGTTTTCCCGTCTACCATTGGCAGTTCTCTTGTGCTTTCCGGTCAGTACATCAGTCCACTTTGGTTCGATTGAAGTTTGTTCACTAACGGTTTCACATAAACTTTCTGCTGATATAACCTCTTTCATTGACGGTCTTACGGATTTTGCTGAAGCGTCTTTTAAATTCTTTACATAACAGCTTGATTATGAATTTAGATGAACTCAACTCTAGTAAAGCTTCTTTTAACTGGCTTTCTAATGTGACACAATTATCACATCTATGAACATCATAAGCTTGGTCATGACTAAATTGGTCGGAGCAAGAATCAAGCAAGACACCAACTGCAGCCATCCTGAACTTATTCATAAATAACTGATATAGTTCATTTACATTCTTTTCCAAGTAAATTTCTTCCCATAATTCATTATTTAGCATGACTGAACTTTAGAGAACTGTCTTTGCAGTACCCTTTTTAACTCTATATTTTGTGTGTTTATGTCCACTTGTAGGATCTGGGCTAGGTGGTCAGAAAAACCCATATTTACAATCTCTATATAGTTCTTATTAACTGTATATTTGCAACCATGACATCCATCAAAGATTCATAACTACTGGTAACTCTTGCTGGTACAGTAACTGTATTTATTAAATCATAAGATACCAGTATATTTTCAAGTGCCTGTACCTACTCATGATCCTGGAGGTTTATATTCCAATCTCCACAAATTAGTTTTTTTTATGTATTCTGTCAACAAGTGCTCCTGGTTTGTCCAAAAAATATGAACATCACTGTGAGGGGATCTGTAAATACAGATTAATAACCATTTCAATGCTACAGTTTGTACTGCAGATATCTCAAAGTGCTGTTCACAGCCTAGGTTATTAAGAAACGTGATTTTCCTAGTATTTAACTATTTGTTAATAAATATACAGGATCCTCTGTTTTTACAACCCTTCCTACAAAATTTACTAACCAGTAAAAAATTATTAATCTCAAACAAGTCTAGTTGGGCTTCTGCCAACCAATGTTCTGTAAAACACCAGGCATCTATACTTTGTAAACTAGTATTTAAGAGGACTGATAATTCCATATGATATCATGTAGAATTGCAAATTTATGATTTCTTAAATTCAGCTTTACTCTCCTTTCACATTTTTGGCTATTTATAATTTGTCTAGATCTGTCCATAAAAAATCTGAACTTTTTATTGGTATTTTACAGAGTCGTTTTGGCTGAAGCTCTGTTCGATTATCAAGCTTGAAATCATCTCTTCCACGCTCATTATTTATTGTGTATTGTATATGCCTTCCAAACATGAGATATTCTTCACCTGTGATGTTTCACAGTTGTCTGAATGGATCCAGTAAATTTTTCTTCTTTCCATTTAATTCCAACTGAAGTGTTTTTCACATTTGCGATATTTTTGCACCATAACTTCTTTACCTCTCCCATTTAAATGCAAAGCATGAATTGTATATAATTCCAGACAATATTATATTTAAGCATCCTGTTGCACTCTACATGATAAATGATACAAAATCCGTCCCAAGTGCAAACAATATATAAAATATGTCCTTGATCTTGTTCTCCTCTACACTACATGTTTCGGCCTCTAACGGCCATCATCGGGTGTATACTCTTACGTAGAGGAGAACAAGATCAAGGACATATAATATATATTGTTTGCACTTGGGACGAATTCCAGACAGTTTTCCACTTCAAGAAAATGAAAATTTTCAAAACCCTTATTATAATTCATCAGCTTTCTACTGAAATTTTTTACCGCACTGTTTACACGGGATCTCTGCTTGAGGTCATGGTTATAAGGAACTTTTATTACACCCAAATCTGTGTGATTCTGCCTAATTACACGGTCACTCATTTGCTGGAGACCATTCTCACCTTCATTTTTCTCTACATCGCGACCCCCTCCCCACACAATAAACATGTCTTTTTGTGAGCTCACAGTTCAATTATCTTAGTAGTTATCTCTTTGATGTTTGACCCAGGTTAGACTATGCCTTTGGAGTTCATCTGCCATACCTCTCGCGTGGCCAACACCCATCTTTAGGACTCTACTACCACTTCCCCTACTATTCTTCTCACCAGTTACCATTTGACCGTTACATAGAAACCACGACCACAGGTGGAACACTTCTTTTCATCAGTACCACTCAACTGCTGAGTCTTATTTCGAAAGCCCAAAGGGCAGACTGCGCTATAGAGACTTTTACGCATATGTGAAAGGCCTGTGACTAGACAACACAATGTTTTGATTGATTATTTAATATACAAAGAACGTTATTTTTACAATATAGAACATAAGCACAAACAATAAAATTCTTTAATATTATAAACACAAATGCATTACCTCCACAATAACTGTACTCTGTTATATAGAACATAAGCACAAACAATAAAATTCTTTAATATAATAAACACAAATGTACCTCCACAATAACTGTAACCTGTTAGTTCTTGTAGCGCGCAACTAGTTGGGCCGTGGCGCCACTGCCTTTCCTCCCTTGCCCTAATGATAATATGTACGCACATTTTTCTTGCGTCACGTACAAAACGGACACACTTCTTTTTATCAGTAGCACTCAACTGATGCTTGTCTGCTGGAAGGCACAGACATCGCAGATATTCATCGCATTCTCTGCAGAAACTGAACAATTAGCTGGCTCTGATCCTCTATCATCGTCTTCATTGAATCAATCTCCATCTGTATTTCGGCACGGCATTGTTCTTGCAGCTCGCTTATCTGTTTAATTGAATGCATCTCCTTATTCAATCGAGCGAATCGCTGTTCTTCCTCGTGCACCATGTCTACCACAACTTTCATCTGTGAGACTAGCCCAGTACTCTCATGAAACAAAATGCTCATGAGCTCCTGTTCTGTTTTGCCTTCCCTACGCCACCACCGTCGATATATGTAACGTGGGAGATAATACAACACATTAATAATGAAGACTGGGATGAGCTCGAAAATCAGCGGGGCAAGGAGTGTCCACAAATTCTGGAGTTCTGCTGGTGTGCCCCATCCTTGAAAGTCCCAGGACTGCGCGGATTCCATTTCTTCTGCTGAGGCGATGGTCCCGACTGGGATTGTTTCGGATGCTGGAGCTGGTTCTGGCGGTGGAGTTGATTCGGGTGCTGGAGCTGGTTCTGGCGGTGGAGTTGATTCGGGTGCTGGAGTTGGTTCGGGCGCTGGAGCTGGCTCGGGCGCTGGAGCTGGTTCTGGCGGTGGAGTTGATTCGGGTGCTGGAGTTGGTTCGGGCGCTGGAGCTGGTTCTGGCGGTGGAGTTGGCTCGGGTGCTGGAATTTCTTCTAGTCCTGCAGTTAATTCGGGCGGTAGAATCGGTTCGAGTGCTCGAATTTGTTCAAATGCTGAATTTAATTCGGGCGCTGGAATTAGGTCGGATGATTGTAATGAGGGAAAGTATCCTCCTTTGAAAATTCCCGCAGGAATTGCTAACATTGCTATGCTGAATACGGTAATTAATATACTCTTATTTGTCTCCATGTTTTGTTTGCTTATATCTGTAAGCTTGAAAGTAAATAGATCTCTTTCCTGTTTCTTCGTCACAAGGTCTTCTGACACCAGTTATCTCCTGTTCGTCACTGTCTTCTCTCTGGCTTCACAATTCGCACTCTCACTCTGGATACCAAGCACATACTGGCTCACACCCCCCTCAGCCGGCCTTTTATACTGTTCTCTGCTGCCACGTAGTCACAGCCGTCACAGCGGTGTCCCCTGTTACGTGTCAGTGTGAAGTGCTGTTACGTTACCGTGCGGGGTGCCACGTGGCGATGGCGCTGTGTTACGTGGCACAGGCAGCGGCTCCTATGCTGTTACAGTGGTCCCATATCACAGCTGTTCTGCTGTTACGTCATCGCTTGCAATGAGTGTTACCGCGTCGTTACAGTCTTTTCTATGTCATTTGGTCACTATCATACATATAACTTTAGGCCAAGACTACTACTACCAAAAAGGATGTCTGTAGAAATCATGAATAAACCCAAAAAACAAATCGTTTAATTAGTGATTTATAGTACCGGCTGTATCATATTTTAGTCACTGTCATAACCACACTTTTAAGTCATGACGTCAGGTGCCAAAAAGGATAATCCATATAAATTACGAACAAAAATAATCAATGAACTGAGCAATTAACAACTTTAAGGCACGACTTCGGCCGCTAAAAAGGAAATTCGTAGAAAAGATGAATAAAAATAATCACTAAATTTTGCAATTAATATTTATTTATTTATTTCGTCTCTATAGATCATTGTTACATGATATAGGACAAGTCAGTTATTGTACATTGGCTGATTACAATAAGAGAATAAAGTTGCAATACTCAAAATTGTTTACAATAGATTACAGTAGATTACAATAGTGAAGATTTCAAATAGTGTGAGGTGGAATCCATATTAGGTCCCCTCGGCACGTCGGCTTCCATATGTCCTATTGTACCTGTACTGGTGATAATGCTTATGGGGAATTTGATGCAATGAGGAATAAGCTATGTTCTCTGCAAGGTTAAGTGACAACTAGCTTTTTTGGAGGGGTCAGCGTTTTTATTGGTCATTGTGTCGTATTCAGGATAGAATATATATATATTTTTTAATTTATTGTATAGTTTCGTCTTTCAATTACTTTGTGGTGGGGGATGCCTTGATTATACGAATGCGCCCAGCACTTTGATCTCGTGATGGTCGTCAGCGGTGGTGAAAGCGTCGTAGGTTATGTTTTTCTTTTTTAGTTTTTGCTGTCTTCGCCGTAGATTCGCAAGGAGGAATTAAGTATTAACTTTGCTATTTTAATTAATCCGTCACGTGAACATACAGAATTTATTGTACTAATGCTTTTAAATGGCAGTATGTTATTTGGACATATGCATTAAGTGGAAGTTCATGAATAGTTTTTGTATTTACGAGCACCATTGTTTTGTTGTCGTTAATTTGTGTTTTGTTCAACTGTGCAGTTCGTAACTTAGATCACTTAGATCTTGTAACGTAGTATAGGGCGTATAGGGTTATTACAGTCTGTTTATAACGCTTATAAACGCCGGTTTATAACACTATATTATCGATTACATGTTCGTTGTGGAGGCAGGTAGGACATAACTTTGGAGATCAGTTGGCATTAAAATGTCTGTGGATAATGCGTCCTTCTCGGTTGATATTGGAGGTAAGAATAGGTTACTTAAGTCCCATAAAACATTCATGTAATTTGTTTATTTCTTTGCTGTTTTCCCCACTTGACCTTGCTTAGAAATGTGTTTTGCATGCACTTTTTGGTTTCAGTTTTCAAGCACTACACAAAAATATGTTCCATTTAGTTTTATAGCATGGGAGACTGAAGGAATAGAATGTCAGGATATAGATCAGGACCAGTGTAGGTGATGGGTGTGAACACAATAATGAACGTTTCAGTTCGATTAATGCATGGAATTTGTTGATTAACTGAGCAGTTGTCAGATTCTCAAGAAAAACTCTGCACAGTGCAGGTGGCTTTTTCACGGGAAGGGATGGGGCATCCTGTCATGATTTGGTGTTCGTGAAATTTAGCCAGTGTAAGCATAACTGGAGTCAGCCCAATTCTTATCCTCACAATTATTTTCTTAGCAGTTTTTATGAAGAGTGTGGTCGTCTGGGCTGTAACACTGTGTAGTTTCAAATAAAAATATTAGAGCATAGAAGGCTGTTCCCTTTATATTCAGTGCCATTAGAATATCTAGTCCAAAATGTTGGCCTACCATCTGCAGAATTGTCTCTTCCTTTGTGATTTTCAAACCAAAATTTGGTATGCAGGATTTGTGGTTCTCATAGTGGTGGTAATGAAGAATTCTGTCTTCTGAGATATCTGTGTAGTTGGTTGAAAGTCAACCAACATTTCAGAGGACATGTCACCATCATCTTCAGGGGTGAAGAATGAGCCAAACAAGAATCCAGCATGAAACTATTGATTCTGTAGTGTACTGCTTGTATGAATGAAAAGTCTTAGTGTCTGTTCTCTGTTCTCACAATCCTTCCTTTTTGATTTCTTGCCAGCTCTTTCCTTATGTTTTGCTGTTTTTCAGTACCTGGCTGAACCATCTTGTTCAGGGGCATCCCATTGCTTTCAAATTTTAATTCTGATGCCCTTCTCACTACCCCTGTTTTTCTTCCCCTTTTCTTGTACATGGCAAGACCTGTTTCTCCTTCCACTATGTTAAATTTTGAACTGCAACTCCTCTGAGAAATCTGTTTGTAATTATATTTTTCCCTTTTTTAATTTTCAGTCTTTTTATGTATTCTTGAAGTGTGCAATATTTCTTGTCTATATAAGCCTTGATTTGATCACCTTTACAGAATTATCTAAAGCAGGGGTCTTCAAACTTTTTGAAACGCGGGCCACATTAGGTAATTCAGCACTTTCAACGGGCCGGATAAAATGAGAAATTAATAACTCTAGGTATATGAGTTTTATTGAAAGCACATAATTTCATAAACTAAATACAAAGTACGTGAGAATAAATTATCGTATATTAATGACAACAGACAGTAGCAGCAAATGCTCATATTTTCATCACAAATTATAATAAAACAATTAATGTGAATGATGGAACTCTTTTTGCATTCTTAAAATCTGATTAAACTGAGGTTCAAATTTTGAAACACTAATCACAAGTAGCGACTTTAAATGTTCATCAGTTAAATTTGCCCTGTATTTCGACTTGATGTACGTCTGGGAAAAAGTTTGTTCACACAGATACATCATCCCAAAAATGGAGATAAATTTACAAGCAAATTTCTTTAAATTTGGAAATTGCTCAGAGTTCAGAAATTTATAAAAGTCGATCAAATTTCTTTCCCTGTATTTGTCTTTAATATATGATAATTTTCTTGAAATTCAGTAATTTCCACTTGAATTTAACTTGGGACATCTGCAGCATCACAGTCAAACTGATTTTGAAACAATCTAATTTCCTGAGCACTGGCATCCAAATCAGCAAATCGCTTCCGAAATTGTTCTTTCAAATCTGAAATGACTAAATTTGCAAATGAGGAGGGAAATTCTGTTTCACCCTTTTTATGCAACACTGCACAGTATAGCAAATGAACAAAGTTACAATTTTTCACTTGGCTTTCCAGAAATATCAACTTTGCTCTGAATGCCTTGATAAGTGCAAATAAATCACAGACTAAGTTATTTTCACCCTGCAACTTTAAATTCAATTCATATTGTTCACCAGATCAGCAAATGTTAATTTCCAAAGCCACTCGGTATCTGATAAAAGTGGTTTGTGGTGATTTCTGTCAGTAAGAAATATATCAATTTCATTCCTGAACTGAAAGAAGCGCGAAAGAACCTTTCCACAGATAAGCCATCGAACTGCAGTATAATATGTCAGGTCAGTAAGCTTGGAATTACATTCCTGGAGAAAAGACCGAAACTGTTGATGGTTAAGTGCATGACAGCGAATGAAATTAACGATAGAAATAACACGTTTTAAAACAGAGCTCATATCAACGTGTTTTGCACAGCGTGCTTGTTGGTGAATAACACAGTGAAGAAACATTGATATTCCTGCATCCTCACAAGCTTTTGTGATTTGGCCAACCAAACATATTTTTGTACCAGACATGTTTTTTTTCCTCCATCAACTGTCACACGCTGCAGACGGTTCCTGTCCAAATTATATTCTGTTAGTGTTTTTTGTATTTCTTTGAAGATATCTCCTGTTGTAGTGCCATGCATGCTGTGAAGTAACGCTAACTCCTGTGTGACATTAAGTTCATCGTCGATACCACGAAAAAATACTAATAGTTGGGAGGTATTACAAACATCAGTTGAAATCTATGAACAAGTATTTTTTTTACCAATACTCATTGGAAAATTAGTTCAGTTGGCTCATTTCTGCACAATTCTTTCGCGGGCCGGATAAAATCACATCGCAGGCCGCATGTGGCCCGCGGACCGTAGTTTGGAGACCCTTGATCTAAAGAATATGCATCATGAAGTTACACAAGAGCTTTGCATAGAAGGGTAAACAGAAAAACAGATCCTGCACCATTGTAATGTTAATATGATCTATCTGTGATTACTAATGACATATGCCAGTCATTACTGACTTTCTGCATTTTGATATAGCTATGATGAGTGATTGTTTCAGTTTTTTAATTGCTAGTGGGGTGGGACTAAGTCCCTTGCACTGCGGCCACTTCTGGCCTATTGTACCAGTCGCAGATGATAGGTGAGGGTGATTGTGGAGCAGTTGGCGGAATGAAAATTGGCAGGGGAAACCGAAGTACTCTGAGAAAACCTGCCAGTGCCACTTTGTTCACCACAAATCCCACTGGACCGCACTCGGGATTGAACCCGGGCCGCTGCGGTGGAAAGCCAGTGACTAACCGCTTGAGCTATGGTGCGGCCGATTGTTTCAGTTAAAGCTGGAACTTCCTATAATTTTTTCCTTCAGTTTCTAGGTCTTCTACATGTGTAACACTGCAAGTTAGTCTCCTCCCAAATTTATTTGTACTCCCCATTTGATGCACTTCTCCAAAACCTTTAAACTTTTCATATTTCTTAACCAAAATGTGTGCTTGCTTTCAGGCATGAGGGCAGAATACAAGACAAAGTCAGAAACATTTACAGAGAAAGATCTGAAAGGAAAGGAACCGTTTGTTCAGTTCAGAGAATGGTTTGAAGAAGCGTGTAAGCATCCCTCAATAATAGAAGCCAATTCAGTCTGTTTAGCTACTGCAACAAAGTAAGCATTTTGTCATAGTAGAGAGTTTCTTAATCAGGAGGCATGAAAATTATTACTCAGAGACTTGCAAAGGATATTTTTATACCGAAACCTTTGTAGTCAGTACATCACAGGATGTTAGTCAGCCAAGTATAGATGCAAGTTCCATGTGGCTCACTGTACTTCAAGACCCAAGTAATAGCAAGGAAGAGAATCTTCATGTACCTTGTTTATATTTTCCTTTTATCGCTCTGTTTGGAAGACCATGTATAATCAGCACACCTTAATACTAGTTTAAAGTAAACATAAAGCTAATTAAGTGCTACGTATGGGTGAGTGTCCATACAGCTTTGTGCATTCTTAACTCGGTCAATAGATGTAGGTGGTCATCTTCTTGCCTGGCTGCTTTACCCCTTAGAAAAGAGCCGTTGGATAGGAGACTGGGTGGATCCCAGAGCTGGTCCAGACATTATTAAGAAGGGAACAATCTCTTTCTTCTGCTGAGAATCAAACTCCAGCTTGTTGGTCATCCAACTTGTGGCCTCATTGTTATACCAACTGAAGCACCCTTGCCCAATAGTTCAAAGTAGATTTAATTTTTTTATAATGTGTATTGCGTGTAGACCTCAGCACTCCCTTCAGAACACAGTGAGTTTCTGAAGTTGACTGGATTCATCTATTGATTTTCTTTGTGTTAATTGAGCTCCCCAAATGTGAACATCTTTCGTTATTAGGGCACTGATTTTTATCTTTCACATTTCTTGTGAACGTCTTTACTGTCCTGTTTTTCAGATTCAGTAATTTTTGTACTATCATAAGCAATGTGATTATGAAAAACTACATTACCAAACGTTATGGCTGAGTGTGTAGAACCCCTGGTTCAAACTTTGGAAGTCTAAGGTCCAAATCTTGGTCCAGAGGCTGGCTATCTGAACTGAGTTCTGTCTATGGTTTCCTCAGTCCCTCCAGACAAATTACATACATAAATACATTACATTCCGCAGATCCACAGTAAGTCAGAATGACTGTAGGATGTGGAACAAGTCATACAAATACAAAAGCCATAAAAACAGTACAACTGAGACACAACAACAAAAAATATGTCCACATATATAAGTCAGTACTGTCAACTTATGCTATGTACATAACCTTTTAAAAGGACGAGTCGTTTTTAGACAGTAGGAATTCATCAACAGAGTAGAGTGAGTGTGTATTTAAGTATCATTTCAGTGTTAATTTAAATTGCCCCTTGTCATTCGTTACACTTTTAAGACTGGATGGTAACTTGAAGAAAGCAGTCTTCTGGGATTTGGCACCATGTATATGTGGTGTTAACCGACGTTTCGGAGGAACGTATCGCAGATTTCTTATATTTTTTCTTCTACCCTGAAGATGAAGCTTAACACATTGCAG